TTTATAGATATTAGACACTAACTTAAAATGAAGGACAGAGAGATCAGGATGTATTCATACTTTGCTACCATATTTATGACATTACCTGTTACAAACCATTGAGATATACTTAGTTTTTCATAAATAAAATCATGTTAGTCTCATATAATTATTTTTGTTTAATTTTACAAATTTGAAATCTTGAATCTCTACATATATGGAATGTTACTGCTCTGCCAATTTTCCTAACACCATGGCTTAGTCTGTTTTGTACTGCTCTAGCAGAGTACCACAGACTGGGTAATTTATGAACAACAGAAATGTATTTCTCACAGTTCTAGAGGCCAGAATAAAATAAAGGTACCGGCTGGTTTGGTGTCTGGTAAGGGCTTGGCCTCAGTCATCCAAGATGGTGCCGCGTCTCCCAGAGAGGAAGAACACTGCCCCTCACGTGTTAGAAGAGCAGAAGAGAAAGCCGTCTCCTGCAAACTCTTTTTATAGGGGCATTAATCAATTCTTAAGGGTGAAGCTTTTATAACATAAATGCCCTCATTAGACCCAGCCTTCCAACACGGTTGCATTAGGGAAGAAGTTTGCAATGCATGAGTCCTGGAGGGAACAAAGACAATCAAAGCATAGCACACCATTTGCCTGGGGATTGCTACAGAAAGTTCCACTCAATAATTTTCTACTCATATGGTAAATATTCACTCATTACATATGTAGACAGCATCTCTTAAGTGTCAAAAGCGGTGCGAGAAAATGCAAAGTAATGTTGATAAAACAGCCACAATTCTTACTCTCATAGATCAGACTCCTATCATCTTTTGTTCCAATTGCTCACACTTGCTTTTCTTTTATCATGTAGGTAGACAAATGACATCCTTCAGGATGCCTTCAAAAAGGGTATTTTGAGATTCGAATGTCAGACAATGTAGAATGAATCATTTTTGAGGATGGATTTAAGAAAGTGTCTACCTGCGGTCCTGGAAACCACTCCTCCTTTCCAAATCTTGGTTATTTATTTATTTATTTTTCTGCTTCTGGAAGTCATTCAAAGCCGCCAGTCCCATTTCCATCTCTCTATTCAATTCTCAGACTTGGCTATATGTGGCCTGGCTCCAAAAATAGACAAACATTGCGGAACTTACCAGGATTACCAGGAGCTATCTGAGCTACACTAGAGGAGCAAGTTTTTCTGCTATGAGTGAAGTGCTAAGAGTTAACATGAGAACTTCAAAAAGAAAAAAAAAAAACAAACAGGTTTGGAGTAGTGTGTTAATGAGATGTCAGTAAAACCTGGCTGTAGATTAGTAAAATTAATACATGAAAGGGATAGACTAAAAGTGCAAATATAATAATGCTGGAATGAAGGAGAGTGGAAGACATGGACATTCTTACTACATGCAAATCACAGATAATACTTAGAGATATATTTATAAAGGATATTATTGCAGTTATCTTATATTGCCTCCCCAAATTGAAGGTTGTTTGTACTATTTAATCACACATGCATAGAATATGTAGAATACCTACATATATATATGATATTTATCCATATACCTTTATATACCTACTTGTCAAGTAAAAATGAGCATGATAAGCTGCATTAACATTCACAAAGCTCTTTCAAAATACTTTGAAATAGTCAATTCTCATAATTGTCCTTTCATGCTGTCAGATTTCACCCTGATGCAAGGACAACATTTTCTAGCACCAAAAGAAAAATACTTGTCAAATGTTAAATTACAAGATTCAGGAGGCATTGAGCCATTATTTACAAAAACTTTCAAAAATGGGCTGCCCATTAGCCGGAAGTGGTGCTTTGAAGATGATTCAAACATAAACAGGGAGCCTGACATCATAACCTTTCCCACTCCTTCAGAACATTGTGATTCTCTAATTATCAGAATGATGTCTTTGTTCATACCCTTTGGCTCTGCTTCACTGTGAGAGTGTTAAACTCACTAACTCTACTATTTTCCAGTTGATACTCAAGGGCCATTTCCTAATTAACCTGGTTCTTAGCATGGTATTCATTCATTTTTGGTATTACTGACACTTTATGAGCAAAAACACATTTCCTACTTACACAGCTTATCAGCTGCATTTTAGTCAAACTGGTACAACAAGGATAATGTTCTCAACCTATAATGAAGGACTTATAACATTTTTTGCTATTTTCACTTTACTCTATTTAATTGCTGCAATGATAAGGCAAACAGTTTGTTGAAAGCTTTTATATTCTCAAGATCTAAATAAATTAGTTTATTAGTCATGAGCATTTTCTATTTAAAACAAATTAATATTATTGAATGTTGAAATTATCACTCTTAAAATTGCATGGATAGTTTAATTCCGCTGAAATATAACAGTGAACAAGGGAGAGAGATCTGTCAAAACATCAGCACTCTGCAGAGGACAGTGTAGTTTGGTGGTCATGGCCTTCACATACTATGTGTCTTAGATCAAGTTATAAAATGACATTAAACCTTGTTTTTAATTCTTTGAATGAGAATAATAATGCTTTTCTCACACAAACATTGATGGTATTAGTTGAAATTGTGCAGTTAAAATATTTAGTACAGTGTCAGATACAACAGTAATTAATCAATAAATGATACAGGACAAACGTCCTAGAAAAAGAAATACAGAATCTTGTATTTGATCTATATCTCAAGTGAGAATTGCTTTCCAGAATTAACTTGCAGGTAAGCCAGATCTTAGTTGGGTCATTTAGAAATAGAAGAAATGCCATGCGTAACCCCCAAATGCTACTGCACTATCCTTTCACAGAGATAAGTTTGAAAAACCCTGTGCAAGCAGAAGTTGGTTTTCCCTGAACATCAGGAAGAGGATTTTGCAAGCCAGACACCTACCAGTTCTGATTCTATCTCCCACCTCCCCAGGCATTTTCTCAAAATGACACAAGTCTTCTTGGATAGTCAAAGGAGTCACTGGTGTTGTGCTCTACAAAACCTAATATCTGGAATCATTGTGCACTTTATGGAGAATAATGCACAGGAATTGCCTGTGAATACTTTTTAATAGGAATATAAGGAATCTTGGAGTCAACATCACTGAAATTATCATAAATGACCTAATGAGACCTTCTATAGAGATTGTAGACTCTCTCTAACTACAGAATTAAAAAAAATTAATTCTAACTATAGGTTTAGGTATCATAGAATAACAAGAAAATCCCACACTATATTTTCTTAAAAGTACCACCTTTCCAAAGCATATACTCTAGTGGGAGTGTGTAGTACATCATTAAGGTCTATAATTAACAATCCGCAAAGGCCTAGCTCTCCTTCCTGCACTGTTGGAACAGGCAGATGATATTTTAGAAATTTCCAGTCTTCAAGACAGAAATTAATAATTCATCTGAACTAATTAATTTCAGAGCAATGTCATTTTTCTAAATATAGTTCAGTTACACATCTGTTTGTTGACATTGTAATTGAGTAACCATCAGACTATTATAAATGTAAGACTTTTTAGTTTGATTTAAAAATAATTTTAGATTATTTTTATGGAAAGCAGACTAAATAACAGTGAATCATATAGGAAATAAGGAGCATTTATGAAGATGATGTGGAAGCCCTGCTGAGTTTTGCCTAAAATGTTATCTTAGTCATTCACTGACAGATATTGATCAATCAATTAAATTGTTCCTTATTCAGTGAGAAATACAAAACACACACACACACACACACACACACACACACACACACACACACACATATAAAAGAATGTTCTTCATATTCAAGTATACTACTTGGTAAATAATTCCACAGGTGCCAATGGCCATCACATATTATACTAGCACTGTCCAAATGCATGTGAATGACATATGGTGAATTCTTGTTGTATGTTATAAAGGGTATGTATGGACTTTAAAGTCAGAATATTTTTATTATAAATTTTAAGTTAGTTTATTTGCTCTATGACCTAGATGTTTACTTTATCTAGTGTTGAGTTTCCTAATATGTACAACTCAGAAAATAATTCTAATAATGCCACTGCAATAATGGTCCAGGTACCAACACATTATGAGAGATACATAGAATGTTAATCTGAGTAACAGACCCGAATGTATTAAAAATCCAACTGAAACAATATATATGGTGCTGGAAGACAGTTTCTCTGCAATATGATGCTGCACTCACTTTTCAATCTTATGCTATTTGTTTAAGTATTTTCTTCATCCTTTCACCCCATGTGGGCACCATATGTACACATCCATTTTCATCGTCACCTTCATTTACTTTGTTTCAGAGCTACCTATCTCTTCAGCACCACTCAGTATACATATATACATCTCTTCACATTCGTTTCACCATGGCTTACTCCTTTGACATAAGGCTGTCCATTCTATCAGGCAATAAAGGCCAACATTTTAGCAAGTCTTGGCACTTGCAAGCGTCTTAATTTAAGGTTAAAGCTGACAAAAAGCACAATGACTCAGAAGATGTTTAAGAGTCACATCATCTGGAACTGCTGGTAGATTGGCTTTAAGGGATAAATAAAAGGAAGATTAAGGAAGGCTCTGTGGATTCAAAACTATGTGGATGGTGACACTATTTACTGAAATGAGGAAAACCAGGAGACAGACAGGTCTGGATAAGGGGGTGAAATTAGGAGCTATAGTCTAGGCAGAGCAAGTTTGACAGGCCTAATGCATACACAACTCAGAAAAGGTTTGCAGAAAAGAAAAGATTTACAGAACAAGCCAAGATGCTTTAAAAGTTAGCCTGAATAAAATTCATCAAGGCCTAGTATTGCAATTATTATCAGGAATCTTCGTTATTATCAGTTATTAGGAATCCTCATTCCTAAATAATGGAAGATTTTGGACCCAAAGCTATACAGCTTATAGGAATCTAATATAATGCCAAAATTTGCTTATTTAAGCTGTCACTTATCAATTTTGTTTTATGAAAAAAATGTTTATTTTTTCAATTATCACTGCTTTTCTTATTTAGTGAATATCTGTATTTCACATATTTGTCCAGGAGCTAAGAACCAGGAAAGGAAAGATGCAGCTTCTGCCTTCATAGACTATATGCCAGTAGAAGAGTCAGGAAAAAACAGGTAAATACCAATAAAATAACCTGAAGAAAAAAAATTAGAAGACTGACATCAATAATACAGGAGGAAACATTCTTTAGTAATTTTAGAGAAGACCTTTTTGTGGATTATATTTGTGCTGAAAAATAACTAATGAGAAGAAAATAGCCATGAAAATAGTGAGGTTTCATAGCATTTAAAGAGGAAGAAACAGTATGCCAGTGGCCTTGAGTTGGCACAAAACTGATCATGATAAAAAAACTGAAGGAAAACCAAAGTGGCTTTACTTTATTTCAATAGGTTGCATGAATGCATAATTTAAGAGTCACTGACTAGAAAAAAACATAATATGAAATATGTCGGTATTTTGGGTAAATCATAGTTAATTCTACACTTGATCTTAGCCAAAAGGCCAAGAAGCGATAATCATAGTTAATTCTAAAAGCAATGGATAGTCATTAAATAATTTTAAGCAAGAAAGCAATACTTCCTTATGGGGGTTTTTGTTTTCTTTTTTTATTATTATTATACTTTTAAGTTCTGAGGTACATGTGCAGAGCGTGCAGATTTGTTACATAGGTATACACGTGCCATGGTGGTTTGCTGCATCCATCCCCTGTCATCTATGTTAGGTATTTCTCCTAATGTTATCCCTCCCCAATCCCCCCATCCCCTGCCATACCTCTCCTAGCCCCCAACCCCGACAGGCCCTGGTGTATGATGTTCCCCTCACTGTGTCCATGTGTTCTCACTGTTCAAAACCAACTTATGAGTGAGAATATGTGGTGTTTGGTTTTCTGTTCTCGTGTCAGTTTGCTGAGAATGATGGTTTCCAGCTTCATCCATGCCCCTGCAAAGGACATGAGCTCATCCTTTTTAATGTCTGCATAGTATTCTGTGGTGTATATGTGCCCTATTTTCTTTATGTGGTCTATCATTAATGGGCATTTGGGTTGGTTCCAGGTCTTTGCTATTGCAAACAGTGCCACAATAAACATACGTGTGCATGTGTCTTTGTAATTGAATGTTTTATAATCCTTTGGGGTATATACCCAATAATGAAATTGTTGGGTCAAATGGTGTTTCTAGTTCTAGGTCCTTGAGAAATCATCACACTGACTTCCATAATGGTTGAGCTAATTTACACTCCCACCAACAGTGTAAAAGTGTCACTCTTTCTCCACATCCTCTCCAGCATCTGTTGTCTCCTGATATTTTAATGATTGCCATTCTAACTGGCGTGAGGTGATATCTCAATGTGGTTTTGATTTGCATTTCTCTAATGAGCAGTGATGATGAGCATTTTTCCATGTTCATTGGCTGCATAAATGTCTTCTTTTGAGAATTGTCTGTTCATATTCTTCACTCACTTTTTGATGATATTGTTTGTTTTTTTCCTGTAAATTTATTTCAGGTCTTTGTAGATTCTGGATATTAGCCCTTTGTCAGATGTGTACATTGCAAAATTTTTTTCCCATTCTGTTGGTTGCCGGTTCACTCTAATGATAGCTTCTTTTGCTGTGCAGATGCCCTTAAGTTTAATTAGATCCCATTCGTCTATTTTGGCTTTTGTTGCCATTGCTTTTGGTGTTTTAGTCATGAATTCCTTGCCTATTGAGTTTAAGGTCTGTTTTGCAGATATGTGGAGACTACTTTCAAAGACGGGAGGAGAGAAAGTGGGAAACCAGTTACTTTCAAATTATACTTCCCATGAAATATAGTATATATACTTCTATCATGCTGTAGAGTTGCAGAATTGGCATACAATAATGCTAATTAATTTGATTACATACATTATTTTCATATTGTTTATTACTTTTTCTTAAAACATACATAAAGTGGCCTTTGATAGAGAAAACTAATTAAGAATATATGTGATTTTTTTCTCACTAAACATTTCTTTCTTTTGAGTATACCTCTTCTCTAGGTTGATAAAATAATGTTATCAACAATAGGTGCACCCTATGTAATTGTTTTCTTACTGTATGTAAGTTTGTGCCTCAATTTAAAAATTATTAACGTTATTAAGGAAATAATACTTGTCATCTTAGCTGAATGGTCTTTTCTTTTTAATGATACTTTGAAAACTCTTGTATTCAGCAAATAGATCTCTGTTGCTTACTTAAAAATAGGTTAATATTAAGATATTAATCAACACTTCATGCCAATTATGAAGATGTTTTTCATTATTGTATTACTCAAGATATATCATGAAGAAGTTCAGTTCTAAAATATAATGCACTTGAACTTAACTATAGTGTTCATTATTAGCAATGCTTGGTTTAGACATGAATATTCCATTTGGGTTTCTCAGTAAATACTTTCTAGGCTGTCTACACTGATATAGGCAATCATTTGGTGCATTGCAAATTATATAACATTCAAGGCACTGTTCTCTCCAGGTGCCCCTCTTCCAGATGTTAGTTCTAATTTAATAATATCATTTATTAAATAACAAACTATTTAAAAGTATGCAGATTTCTTTAAGTCTTGCCATTTGATTTGCTTTAATGATGAAAATCAGAAGTATTATGAAATAGTGGAGAAAGGACTTTTGGAAGAGTTAATATGAAGGAGTTGGCAAAGGCAAGAGTCTGAAAATCTGTGTCTATGGGGAAGCCACTACCCAACATTTTCTTAATTGATTGATCGGTTAGATGAATGCACACTTCAATATATATACTAATGCAACAAGTGGTAATTTGGAGGATTTTTAATGTTGTGTAATGGCAAATCATAAAATCTACTTGCTGTGGTCTAAAAACTGAAATGAATAAAGTGAATATGCAGTAAAACCAAGAGTTGTTAGTGGTAGGGATAGATGTTAAACAAAACGTCTCAAGGCAGTGAGTGAGATCGCTTAGCGGTAAAAACTTTAGTAGCCTTCTAAGATAGACTGCCTGGATTTGGATCTTTGTTAGTGAAGTGATCTTGGACAACTTAATGTCTCCACATTTCAGTTTACAAATCTATACAATAAATTTAATACTTGTACACAATTTCCCAAGGTTGGTGGGTGGCTAAACGAGTGTTAATATGTTTAACAAAAACAAGAACTGTATCTAATAGGTTCTATATATGTTTCAAATATTCTTACAGATCAGAAAGCCCTTACATCCTATTTAAGAAGCTTTATGCATTTCTTTAATCTGAATACTCCCAGATAGTAGCTGTGTAATGAATTCTGCTTATTTTGTTGTCTGCACGAGTTTCGTTGATGAGGGGAATGATTTATTCCAGTGTGCTACTACTGCGTTGAATAATTATAGTGATATTGGGCATCATAATTATTCTTGACTTTAATGGAATTTCTTTTTATATTTCATCATTAAGTATTTTGTTTACAGAAATTCCTGGTAGATAATTTTCAGTAAGTTGAGAACATCTCTTTCCATTTATAGAAAATTAAGAGTTTTTTCTTGTTTTAATCAGAAATGAATATTCAATTTTAACAATATCCCACTAGTAGGTCCACTTTTAAATCTCTCCACTATTTACATACATCTTATTTACATATTCAGATACTATTTAATTCTATCTTATCCCCACTTAATAATTTTTTCCACTTCTCCCACTGGAATCCTTTTCCACAGAAGTAGATTATACTCGTCTGAATCACAGTACATGCTTTTAATCTTGCCAGAGTGTGACTAACACATTTTTTGTGAGTTTATGTAGCAGGAACCACAATTACCAGGGATATTAAAAAGGCACTCTCCCTGCAAATTTTGCTTCTTTCTCTCTCTCCGTGTGTGTGTGGGCTGGGTGGGGCGGGGGAGGGGCTCATAAATTTTACTCAAGCAAAAATTTTTTTTAAATGGTCAATTGGATAATCCATCTTCTGTTCCACAGTCTTGTCTACTCCATGTACCAAACACTAAGCCTCCTACTCACCAGCTAGCATCTGATGCTTCTCCTCTGAGAAAATATCTTAAGTGACTGTGTTACTTAAAAGAAGAAAATAGAAATAACAAAAACAATTCTGAATTTTACTTTTCTCATCATTATATCTTTATCACATTTGTGGTCCTTGTAGCAGCAACATCCCAGGAGGGTAAAAACCCAGAAGTCAATATTGAACTCTTCTCTTTGTAAATTCTCACCAAGTCCACATGCCCTTATCAGTACATGAGGAAGTTTGGTAATTTAACTCTAAAATTTATCCTGAATCAAATCACTTATTTCCCTTGCACTACCACTTCCTCCCAATCTGACCTATTTCATTTGTCAATTCCTCTCCACTCTCCCAGATCCCACCTGGACTCCTGAAATAGACCCAGCACTGGTCTCCTTTGTCGCCTTTTTATCCTGTCTATACAGCAACCTAAGTCATCATTTTAAAATTACACATCAGCTGACGTCTAGCCAGCTTAAAGCTTCTCAGAAAGTCAAATATGGTATGTTCCAATTTATAAGTAAGTAAATAATATGCACACATGGACAACCAGTGTGGAATGATAGGTACGGGGGACTTGGAAGGGTTGGAGGGGGTGAGGGATAATAAATTACTTGATGAGTACAATGTAGGTTATTTGGTTGATGGTTACATTAAAAGTCCAGACTTCACCACTATGCCTTATGTTTGTGTAACAACACTGCACTTTTACTCCTTAAATTTACACAAATGATCATTAAAAACTTTTCTTACAGCTTATAAAGCATTTCATAACCTGACTTCTGTGTAAGTCTTCAACTTCATTTCTTGTTTCTCACATTCATTCAGTTTTAGTGACAATGTCAGTCAGCCTGTCTTTTTTCAACCTCAGGGAGCTAATCACAGTCTTTGGTGTATTCATGTCATCAAATTAAATTTGCTTTGTTACATTTTATTTTCTATTTTGTTCCCTTTACCCTGGTCTTACTCTTTGGCACAATCCCCTTACACTCGCTTCTTACGTTAGACTTTCATCTGCTTTTACTGTTTAAACTTCATCATATATTTTGAGAGCTGTTTATATTTATATTGGAATATTGAGCTCGTTACTTCTTTCGCCATGCACTATTTCATCATTTGCACATGGCAG